TCTGTCGTAGACCTAGTCTCTGTTAACACAGTCTCTGCAACATCCTGGTCATCCAGCATGAAACAACCAAAATCTACGCTGTCAAAAAGTCTGAACATTGCCCCCCCGTTAGCCAAAGTATTGACACTACGACGCGAAAGCAGACAACATGAACAAATCTTGGAATTCCGACATGCCTTTTATCCTAATTTTGGAGGAGCATCGGTAGTCACTTGCGTCCACAAAACTAGCCGTGTTGCCAAATTCATTACGTTGAGCGCCAGAGGAAAGGTAGTCCGCCTTATGTACGGCTGACGCAGAAGCCCAGCTAATGTTTCAGCCACACACAGTTATACCTAGCACGATTAAAATCACCTCTCTGTAGCTCGAGTCATCGCAGCTGCACGAGTTCGGGCGAATAAGGCAACATGCTAGGTCAACATAGCAACACTTTATTGGATTGTTAGCAATAACGTGTAAATGTCGCATAGAGGAACTGTCCACTCTAGAAAAACAACAATGGGCAGACGCTTACGCCTTTGGTCGTCGATCTCCTTGGCTTGCAGGGGGTATCCTAGAGTTGCGCTTCGCCTGGTGGTCGGCACAAGAAAGCTTGTCGCTGTCGGCACACTCGTTTTGATCAACCTACCAGTTTCCCTCTCCCAAGCAAGGGTTGGTTCCCTCGCTGAATGAGGGTACCCAGTTACAGAAGCCGATAAAGAAGAATAGTGTGCACCAGCCACAGGGTTACTGGTTCCTTTGAAAGAGGCATCATTGTCTCGTTTCTGGAAGGGACAAACATGTCCTCGCAACTAGGCTGCTGTGCTGCCGTAAAAGTGAAAGAAACCATGGGCGCACGTGCATCCCCACAAGGCAGGAGCCACGGATGTGTCTCAGGAACACGTGGAGAAGAAAATCTTGGCGGTATTATGATCTCATACCGTGACATAGCACTTGAATAACTGCAGTCTTGGTGGCTGGCAGAGAGCGCTGATAGGAAATGTTGCCTGTGTTGAGTCAGCAGGTGCAGGCGGACTCAAAGAGGCTCGCACAGCACGAGTACTTTGATGGGACAAGCTCTAGCTTCGACGAAAGTTTCCTTGGTTGATGTGCATCGAGGTAAGCCCAAACATGTGCGCAACCCTTGAGCTTGGATGCTTTCTAGCGTACTCGCACAACTGCGCTTCATGCTTGAAAGCATGAGCTTGCTGTATCGTAAGTACCCTATGAATAAAATTCGTACAGTTACAGGAGAGCTGCCTCCTAAGGGTTCCGTGTAGCTCAGGTCACAACCCAAAACAATATGGAAAAAACTTTTCAGCTTTGATTTCAAGGCAGTGACATGTTTTGACCACTATAGATTACAGGTGATGATCACACCTAGGAATTTGTGCTGTGCTACAGCATGAATTCCTATTCCATTCACAGTTAGCCTTATATTTCTTTTCATGCAAAGATAAGCATTGCACATTTTTCAGTTGACAGTGCAAGACCCTGACAACATAGGTACCTTGCTGCGATGGTCACTGCACGTTGCAGTCCAGCACATTGTTGGGGCCGTGTAGCTCCAAAAAGGCTACAGAAATGTCATACAAAGCTGTGATTGGGTGCCAGTAGCATGTTCAGGCATAAGTGATCAAATTATTATTCGTAAAGCAGCGAGCACATAACTGATTAACTAAGGCACAAAATTGTGCTGCAACACTTAGTGCTGATAGCTCCTTCCAATTCTTAGAACGCCCTTCCACAAGAGGCCCCTGTACTGCGGCAAAGGTGCCTTCGATATGGTTAAGATGCAATATAGTTATAGCACAGTCGAACCCCACTACAACTGAACTCACGGGGCACTAAAACTATTTCGCTGAAGTGAAAATTTAATTGTAGTGAAATCGAAAAAGATATAGCCGATCTGAGCTAGCAAAACAAAGAAATGTTTATTCCAAAAATTAAAGAAGTGTCTGTTGCTTCCTATTCTTTCCCAGCAGTGCCACGATGCGATTCTCAGTCGAGCATAGCGAGGCCATGGTAAAAAGCATGCTGAAACAACGCCTACAACCGCTTTCGCAAACGCACTAAACAGTTGCATTGACACGTTAAAAGCAGCAGCTGTCCGCCATTAGAGCGCATCCGACAACGCCGAGATGGAGGCTGGGTATCGTGGAGTGGTGACTTTTGCCTTATTCTATCTATGCCATTATTATCATCCATCACTCGCGGCTCGCTGATATTGCTGATAATGCGGACGAATAGCCGCTCTGATTATGTACCACACTGGCCAAGCGCGAATAAAATGATAAGCATTGGAATCGGAAAAGACATCGTTTTGCAGTTGCACCCAGCAGCTGTGTGGCAGCTGCGTGAAGACAACCATGAACTGAGCGACTGAGCTTCTGCTTCGGATCGTCTGCCACTCAAAAGCAAGCAAATGGCAAAAGCAGGGCAGTCGCATTGCCATCAATATTGAGCAATGGCGGCGCCCATGCTTGCTGAACAGAGACGGTTTCTAGGGGTACCAACGCGTGTTTTAGACTTCGTCGACATATTTTCAGGCACTGAAAATACATCAAAATGTTAAAGATTGGGTTTACTGTATAGCAATAAATATCTCAGCCTGAAATTGCATAGTGAAATTAGGTTGAAGCTGGACGGCAGAAGAAAAAGTAGCAGTGTAGAAAAATTAGCAGTGTAGATTAAAAAATTACCATGTGGTTTTTCTTTTGTTTTTCATCTACTTCTTAAAAGGTGCTTCACTAGGTAACATGAAAAATTTTAGTTAGGCACTGGAAGTTGCTGCGCACCCAATGAAAAGTTTTGTACCACTAAATTTTTTTTATTAGTTCATTAAAGCTACAAAAGCATGAAGTGAGTAGGTGATGAAAAGCTTTGTACCACTAGATTTTGTTTATTGGTTCATTAAAGCTGCGAAAGCATGAAGCGAGCTGGTGAGCTTGAAACATTTACCACTCACCAAGTGTAGAATTCGCAAGCGAAATTCCTTCCCTGTCCTCTTCGGTACCGGAGCGTCACAAAGCAAGATCACACGACACAGACGCATCAACACGTTATGCACATGCAAGGTTACAATCGCATGGCATGCCCATGCAAGGCAATGCACGCAAGCAATGTTGAGTCCCTTGAATATTCTCTACACTTTACCGCCTGTTTCTGTGGGATAGATTCTTCTATATGCATGCAGGTTTGGAAAGGCTGGCATGAATCAGGTATCCTTACCATGATACACAGTGTCGTTGCACCAGTGGAACTGCTCAAAGGGACGATGCACCAAAAACGCGCCAAGCATTGAGAATGCTGGCACCAGCACAAAGCAAGAACAGCAAGAACACCAACACAAAGAAAATGAACGCAACGTAGCCTCGCACCTGGCTTGATAACCAGTTGAAAACTTGAGTAACGCGCACATATTCCATTTGTATATGTTAATATTTTTATCAACTTTCATTCCTCCATTGAAGCAACATATTGCACAAATTACACACGTCTCAAATAATCCTCGCAGTGTCACGTACTACTTTGATGTATGCAGAATGATTCCTTGTTGTGCATCACCTTCTCCATGTTGGGATGCAGGCCCATGAGACAAAGAGCAAGCGGTGATCAGCCTGCAATATCACCTCTTTCAGGGGCACTTAGCGTAGCATGGCTGACGAGATCGTGAGTGCCTTGTGCATGCATTTCTCTTGCCTGTTCGAATCGCTCAAGCCTGGTGAGGGGTCTTTAAGGCCTTCATAGACGGAGGAGCAATAGACCATCTGTAATTAGACCCGGTTAATATGAGGTAAAAGACCCTTATGGCCTATTAGTGACCTGGCTATTTCCTCCTCTGCGGCCCTTCTCAGCCATGCCCATGAAGCAAGAAAGACAGGAACGGAAACTCCAAACCGGCGGCAGTGCGAGCGCGCGCCGCGATAATGTCCCTCTGAGAGAAGAGTTTGGCAAACTTGCGTGCAGCGATTCTTGCGGCGACGCACAGAACTACTATTCTCCACTGCAAAAGAGGGCACGCGCCGGCGGTCTCCGACAGCGCCCCGAGTAAAACCCAGGTGTCGTCTGCTACATATGCCACTCACCGATTCCACCGTGCTACTGCTGCAGCTATGAGTTTTTTCGCCAGCGCAGTTCGCCAGAACAAAATGAACTACGCAGAGCATCTTAGGGCCAGCATCTTTATTTATGTTGGATCAGATGGTCTCAGAACAACGAAAGGAAGTAAGTGGTCGAATGAACGAAGCAGACGATCTTTATTCGTAGCAAGGCGCGTGCATAAAATAACTCATTATGTAGCTTGAGGACAGATTTTGCATGTTCATTATTATAACAGTGCCATACAGATTTTCTGCATGGGAAAGATAGACAGACATTTAGAAGCACATTTCAACAGATGGCAACAGCTGATTCAACAGAAGAGCAGAGACTCCCATGACGAGTCAAGGTTCTTGTAGCTCCCCAATGCGATACCTTACGTTTTGAACGTAGGTTTCACTTACTCGCATCCATAAATAAAACCAAGAACTGGCCGGAATATCACTGAAATCACCAATAAAAGCAATGCCAAACGATCGAAGGTTTGATGATACTCGTCACGAGTCAGAAGTCCTCGGCGAACATTTTACCAACCTCTAAACTTCTAGATGAAAAGAGCGTGGTTCTCAGCTTTATGTGTTCTGGTATTGTAACTTGGCAGGAACAAATGGTTATCACTAAGCTCCAACGTAAAACAAAATTCGGAAGAGCACAGACACAAGACAAAAACTTTTTCCTTTTCTGCTTTTTTTTGTTTTTATTATTTCATATAACAGTATTTTCTATAACAGTGTTTTGCCCATCTATTTTTGGTGCCTAAAGCCCGTGTTTTTTGGTGCTTATAAATGTTGCCTCTAATCATAGCACTTCCCATCAATTTTTAAGCAATTGCACCAACTTACGTAATTACATATTGCTAATGTTATTTTTTTACATAAATGAATGCTGCGTTAAAGAAGGTCAATAATGGGGCAGCTTACCTGCAGTGTGTTGACTTGTTGTCCGTTGAGGTAGATGGGGCTACCCACAAAATTGCTGTACTTCTCAATCACTTTGGTGACAAACTCTCCATCAGCAAAGTCTGAATATTCTGGCTTTAGGTGAAGCACAATCTTGGTGCCTTCCTGCACACCCTCAGCCTCCGAGATTTCGTAACGGCCTGAGCCGTCAGAGCTCCATCGCACTGCTTTGGCATCTGCAGAACAAGACTGCGAAAATACTTCCACCCGTTCGGCAACCATGAACGCCGAATAAAATCCAACGCCAAACTGGCCAATGATGGACCCTGCATTGGTGTCGTTTGCAGCCAGCTTCTTGAGGAATTCTTTCGAGCCTGATCTTGCTATGGTGCCCAAATTGGTAACCATCTGAAATACAACAAAACAAGCCGGTTAAAATCATTCCTAAATGCTCAATGACGACATGTGGAAACTAGATTTAGCAGAAATACTACACTTATTTTGAAACACTGCAAAAAAAATCGATTTTATTTTCTACAACTCCATTTATGACAACGATGTAGGCACACATATAATGAATCATTTAAGTGTGTAATGATGCCATGAAATTAATACATCTAATAAAAAACACTGAGTACACTTTTCTGGAAATAATTCAATGGCTACCACACATTGTGGGAATCAATTTGACGTGAAGCAGATGGTGAGTAGCCACCAATGCTAAATGTTTAGCTTTGGGCCATGTGTACTAGGTAAACTGACATACTTATATAAATTTAACAAGACAAGGGGAATTCAAAGGGGTTGTTATAGATGTGGAGAATCTTATTAAAGAGCTTGATCTTGTGGCGTCCGCGCTCTACCGTGCCTGCACGTCCCCTCCCTCCTTTCATATGCTCCCCCTTCTCGTCTTGCACACTGACGCAGGCAGCGTCTGCTGGATAGTTTTTTTATTTAAAAAAAAATCAGCTGCTCGCGTTACGCAGCCATTCACTGGCGCAGATCACTGTGCAAGCACATTTATGTATTAAGTTTCTTTTTTTTTTTTCGGTGTCTTTACACGGAAAGATCATTCTAGCCTTCATGACTCTTGAATTCAGTTACCTTTTCATGGCACCTGTAAGTATTAACACTGAGAGCGCCATCAAAGTAATTACCAATTTTAAAATTTCTGCTTGTAGTAGCGTTGATAATATCAATTCGAAGATACTAAAAATACGATTTACATGTCCCTCCCACATATTATTTCACATTTTCAGGCAGTCTTTGTCTACCAGTAGGTTTCTTAGGAACTGGCAAATCGCAAAAGTTATTTTTGTGGTTAAAGCAGGCCGTAAAGATCAAGTTGAAAGTTATCATGCCATTTTGTTAATTTCTATCATCTGTAAATTACTTGAACATATCATTAGTTTTCAGCTTTAAAATCTTTTTGCATCGAAAAATTTGTTTAGCTCCACACAATGTGGCTTCAAAAAATGTTTCTCTTATGATACACAACTATTAGAATTCATGACTTAACTACAGACTGACTTGGACATGAATACACAAACAGATCGCACTTTCCTCTATTTTTCAAAGGCTTTTGCTCGTGTCGACCATTGTTATCTAATTTGCAAACTGCCTGCCCTTATATTACACCTTTTATCGCTATCATGGCTTCAAAATTTTATTTCACTTCATGAACTGCACAGATTTGCCAAACTGTTTTCATTGAGATGTCACAGAAGTCACTTCAGGAGTGCTCCAGGGTAGTGTCCTTAGCCCTTTACTTTTGCTAATCTTCATTAACGATCTGCTGCTTTTTTGCAGCTGACTGCATCATTAATTGAACTAAAAAATCTTCCACTGATCATGTGACCCTTCAAAATGACATACACTTTGCCAGCAGTCAGTGTACAGAGTGGTTAATGAGCCTAACCCATAGTTCAAGTGAGTCGGCTGAGGAGCGAGTTTGCCAACCTATGGCTTGAACACTACAAATTGTAAAACAATGTCTATTTCTCAAAGAAAGCTTTATTTCAAAATTTTCATAGAAAATTAACAATGGCTAAGTACCTCGAACTACCTCATATAAGTATGTAGGAGTTATCATTGACTGCCAGCTTCCATGGTCCTTCCACATACCTTCCATTTGTTCCAAGCATTCAAATAACTGGGTTACTTGCATCGAAATCTTCATAACTCCACATTGAGCATCCGCAAACTAGCTTACTTAACATTTGTACGTCCACAGTTAGAATATGCCTCACCAGTTTGGTCCCCTCATCAGCTCTATTTAAGACACATGATCGAAGTCATTCAAAACAGAGCAGCCCGCATCATCCCTCAGGACTACCAACGTCATAGCACTGCTATCAAATCAAATGCGGTATCGATTTACAGTAATTAAATATTCACAGTTGGATAGCCCATTTTGTGTTGTTTTACAAATACATCTATTATTGCATGCAGTAGGCCCATAGTCGAGGGGGGTGAAGTCCCGAGGAAAGGGCCCCCCTCTCCATAAAGAAAAATTTGGATGAAAGGGAGTGTTTTACTGAGGACAATTAATAAAAATAGGTATTTTGCAAGGTTTTCAAGAAGTGCCCCTTCCAAGAAATACCTGTCTACAGGCCTGGCATGAAGACGTTACCTTTCTCTCTGCACACACTAGCTCGCATGTCAGCACGCATCCCAAATCAGCATAGCTTTACGCATCTTTTTGGCAGAATACGCACATTCAACTTATCTGCTTTACAACATGAGCTATCTTACTGTAGAATGATCTTCCTCAAGTGATAGTTTCAGCATCAAACAACAAATCATTCCGCGAGCAACTATGCACTCACTACATCTAGCATCACTGCATAGCCATTTACATTGATGGCCATTTAACTGGTGACAAGATTATTTTGTCATAAATGTTTTATTGTCATCAGTATCACTGTTAAGTTACACCTGGTTTGTATAGTTCAACTGTTTAAGTTCTAATCTTTTTTTATTTCTTTCTGTATGCCCCTCACCCTATGCTCTGAGAAGAGCCTGTAAGGTATGTTAAATAAATAAATGTAACAATGTACAAACAGCTTATGAATATGTAACTTGTTTAATGAAAACCGGCAGATTATGAAGCCAGGAAATGTACAGAGAGTGTTAATTGTATTAAAGATATAACTGCGCTAAAGACGAAACACTAAAAACGAAATCGACAGGATGATCGCAGACTAACAACTGTAGCAGGGTTTTACAGGCTTCCAAGAGAAAAATTCAAGGACTTTTCAAGGACCTTTCAATAAATTTAAATACCTCAATTTAAGTACACGACAAATTTTTTTGCACAAAGGAATGGATGTTCATTTCAATTATCATGCAGTCTCACTAGACTAGAAATTCGGAAGCTTAGGGCAAGGCCTTTTAATTTTTTTTCTATTTCAGTCCTAATGCCATCAAGTTCATCAATCTTGACTTTCGCAGTCTTCAGCAAGCTACTGGACTTCACTACATGCTTGATGTCACCAGTCGCTTCTGCCTTTTCATCAAAGCCATCAGCAGGGATTATTGAATCAGCACCAACTGCTTCAAGTTTCTTTTTCTTCAGCTGCATGCATTCAACTTCCTTCATAATCAGGCTTCTTTTTGTCTGACTTGCATTTTCTTGGCACTTTTTTCTTCTCTGATTCCAAGTGTGCACCATAGTGCAGCCTCGCTGCGACACAGCCAATCTGAGCTCTTTTGTTATCGCGACATTTAAAATGCCACCTGCCCTTTCCACTGAGGTACATATGACACGCTGCGAAATATACGACAAGCCCTTCAAGTTCTCTACAGAGATTTGGCGGTTGACGCTAAAGCCCCGTTCAACACTTGCTTGTCCATGACTAAGAACAAGAAGGAGCTTGGTTGTTTTCCATAGCTCTTTGTAGAAAGGGCGGAAGCTCAAGAGTTCACAAAAGAACTCGTCCAGCCTGCTAACACTCCTCTCAAAGAGGCAAAGCTCATGCTTGAACTCTCAGCATTTCAGTGCACTCTGCAAGTACACATTCTCGCCGGCTGTCACTTAGTCTTCCTGCTATGGCCAAGAAGTCTGGCACCTTTCTTAGGCCCAACAGGCACTGATTTGGCTTTGAGCACATGAGCCGGTGGTCTAGAGCAGACAGTTTTCGAACCAAAGATCATTTCAAGGGACTTCGATCCATTATTTTCTTGGCCACCGCTACCAAAAATTGCTTGCACTCCATTCTGAATTGAAATGCATCCTTTGCATTAGCTTTTGAATCCTTCAGTGCTTGTTCACACTTGGGACCAATATCCACTTTTTCAAGTAAAATGTGGTTAATGGGGTTATCAACCTTCATCCTCAGCAGACCACCAAGCCCTCCCGATGACGACAACACCGAGGCTTTCATGAATATTGAAAGGAGCTTACGTACAATGCTTTCAATATCTCTCCCAAGAAAGACAATCATGGGTTTGTCAGATTGAAAGTCAAGAATGGCTGAATAATCAATGCAACACTGAGGATGAAGTTTAGTTTAGCCAGTGTCAAGGAGTCGCGACAAAAGCTATGCACATTTTCAAAGGATGCACACTTCGGTAAGCTCATCTGCTTGATTCTTGCAGACACAACGTATTTCTTCATAGCGTTCTAAAGAAGTGAAGTTCTCTCAATCACAATTGTGTTATCCACCCATCGATGGGACACAAACTGCACAGTAAATTTGTTCTGGGTAGTTACGGTTGCAAAATCATCCCTTCGTGCAGGTGAGTCATGGAAGAGTGCACTCATGCTTGACAGTAGGATGTCGATGCCCCACCTAGAGGCTGTGACGCCTGCTTTGTAGGCATTATGAACGGTATGGAGGCCACACGTTCCCAAGTCAACACATTGGACATGGTGGTTTTCTTGAATATAAGCTTGCATTTTTCTAAAAAAAACTTGAGGTTGACATTCGGCCCGTTCATGGTTATCTGAAGAATTTTGCCAAGTGGCAAAAGCTCCAAAGCCTTCAGTAGTACGCCCTGCATATCGTCTGCTGTGGAGTGCCCCATGAAAGCGGAGGTGTAGTATCAAGTGACCACCTTGTGTGCAGAGTCCCAATATCACACATGCACGTCCATTTGCTTTTCTTGCACGAAGTCATTCATCGACTTTTCAAAAAGTACCTCTTCTAGTACCTCTTCGGACTTCTGTACCTCTTCTAGCAAGCATGACAAGAGAAATGGCCTCAGTCCATAGCACACAACATACGCACATTTCTTCTTGCCGCAAGAAAATGATTTGGCCCCTTCACTGTTAGGAAACATACGCTTGAAGAAGTCGCCAGTTTGTGCCACTGATCTGTACGAGGAGTGGGATGTAATTACTTTCAGTGTACACAGAATTTCGGCATCAGTGATGACTTCGTGCGACTTGCAGGCGCTGCTAAGAT